TATATATTGTTTTTTTTCTTTGTAATATTCACCATGTTGGAGGAATTGCAAGACCAAAACCAGCATCCAAATGAAGAGAGTTTTAGCAGAAAACCTATTCATTGTCCTTCTTTTACTTGATATTTCCAAGGATATTTCACAACAGAAACTCAATTAACGTGTGATATCATTTGACAAACTACAGCCATATTTATACTTCAAGAATCGTGACGAGATTTGGTATGATCGAGAATGGAAATTTTGTTGTCAACGCCATTTCATGCTGAAAAATCGTGATCATAACTCTTCTACCAACTTATGAAAATAAAATCACTGTTGTCATGGTTTCAAAATCCATGAAATATACAAATGAACTGAAATCGTGAATCTTCTTCACTGTCTTTAACCTTGAAGCTTATCATTTAAGTATTTTGCACTTGATTTAGCATTGAATAAATTGTAAATTCCATTATAGCCTGGTGACAATAATGCCACAGGAATTTTCAAGGGAATATTTCGATCACGAAGCACTTCATCAATACCAGAGTTTCTCAAGTTAATAATTCCAACTGACCTATAACAAACTCTAAAACAATGTGGCAAATGCAACTGTTTTTTTTTTACTTTTATCGGTCATAAGCAAAGATTTCAGATTCTATTCAATCATATAGCGTTCTTAATATTTCTCAAGTTACTTTAACGCTAGAGAAAATATTTCTTCTCGAAATATTTTTGAACTGTGAAATCTAACAAATATTGCTAAAATATCAACATGACGAGGAAAGCTGGAACGAGTTTGACTTGTTAGTTGGGGTCAAAGTCTCCGGGGGAATGCTATCACCCTCGAATTTTACCGATTTTCACGCGATTTCCCTCTCTTTCTCTATTCCTCCCTCCTGAAAAATCAGCTTTCCTGCCTTTGACCACGTTCCACTTCAAGTACTTCAGACACTCTATAAACTTTTCCATTTGCAGCAGGAAAATTGCCTTTCGCCCCCTTCTACCATTGAGGGTAAGACGAGCAGGAAAATAGCGCAGCTCCCCAAAATCATTTATTAGTTTGGGGACTGTGTGCTTTGGCAGCGACAGAGAGCGTGATACAAAAACCATTAGCGAAAATTGCAAAAAGTGAGATCAAATGGAAAATGTCGATCACTTGAGAAGGGTTGAAGTTTTTTTTTCACTTCTTTCGGGTGGTTTTTCTTTCGCGCGGTGTGTGAGGGATGAAACAAAGAATTTAAATTCCATCCACCACAGGAGAGAACGATAGAAAGGGAAAACATATTGAGTGGTGAGAAGTAATACAGAAGAGAAATATATTCGATAAGCAATAAAATAAAATGTGAAATAGATTTTCCATCGATGAACCGACAATTTGGTTTATTTCCTCTGCTCGAGCACCTTTTTTACCACCCCTTCGCCTCACCTTCCAGGATCTCTTTTGGGGCCATTCGCCCCATCCTGATAATAGTGCGGTCGACTGACTGTGCAAGTGGCGAAGCAAAAGTTTTCCAATCAATAAAGTGCTGATAAGTCCAAGGATAAATCTGTATCATGTTTGCAAATGTAAATGTTTAATTACATTTGATGGAAATGTAATTCCATTTGCTGACATCTCCACCAGTGGCATTGTGTGATGAGAAATCCGCCTTTAATTCCACTGCAAAATGCATATTGTTGTGAAATATATTTGCAAACTTTATTAAATATAAAGTGGGAATCTCATTAAATGCGAATCTATATTCATGAAATATCGCTGAGTGAGAGGCATTTCAGATTTGCCGGTGTGAATTTTCCGCAGAGCGCGATCGTACGACCATTGTTGATGCGCACGTCGTCGGTGTGGTGCAAAATATCGAATTATATGGGGGAATGGGACGAAATCCACCGACTCTCCATTAAAATGTTCCCATCGACGTGTGCGCGCGGGGCCGTGAAAGGTGGCGAACGGTGGGGTTTGGTTCGGGGCTTAAAACTTTCTCTTTATACCAGGGAAAAAGTGAGCTCGCTATGAGGGTTTGGCATGCAATCGCTGGCACAGGATCAAAATGTTACATCGAGTGTGCGAGGAAAACCATTTGAATTGATTAAAAAGGAAGAAATCGCTCCAACTCCCACTTCTGCCTGGGAAAGACTTTACAGTTGAATCGCACGTGATCGGAGTGTTTCAATAAACCCAAATTTCTGCTGCCAAGGGATTTTCCACACTCACATCTTGACTTCTATCGTCGCAATGGAAAGATCAAAAATGCGAATTGATGAATAATTTAGTATAAATTTTAGACCTACAAATAAAACTACCTTTATCGAGGCCGAAAGAAAAACGTGAGAATATTTACTGAATGCTCCACAATTACACAATGAGCGAAGAAAACTCAGTGAAATTCTTCAAATTCGCATAATTTCTTTAAAAAACAGAATCAAACATTAACTCAATTCATCGTTTAGTATCTCAATTTGATTGAATTTGCAATTCAGAATGGGTTTTTTGAACGATCAACGATCGAGATCTTAAGAGTATTACCTTCAAATCTCTCAGCGTGTAGCTTGAGGTGTTTGCTCCTTTTGGTTCCCGAAGGCTTGTAGGCATATCGCATGGAAATTCTTGATCCCACTTCAGCAGCGGCGCTTCCAGGGCGAATCCCCAAATCCGGAAGGCAACCATATTGAGTGGAATCATTATCTGGCGAGGAGCACTTGGGAGAGAGAGAGAGTCGGTCGGTGAGCATCCCCTTGCGAAATTGCGGCGGGAAGTTGGAGTCGAAGTGTGGAGGAAACGTGCGATAAGAGGATATCTTGGAGAGCATAGGGTGGAAAACATCTTTTATGTACAATTTCCATTTACATACGCCAGTCCCCACTCGAATGGGGCGCAGCTCCTCTGTCTTACACATAATGGAAAACTCCCATAAAATACTCATTTGGAAGTACGTGGCCTGAAAGGGGAATTTATTTACATCTCCGTTTGTAGACTTTAGGGGTTCTCGCATTTTGCAGAGAGGAAAAAAGCCCACCTTCTTCCCAATGAATCAGACCGGAGGACGGAAGTGCCCTCGAGGTGGGATGAGAGGTTGTATGAAATACGAGACTTGAGGAGAAAATTATCCCTTTTTCAATCCCCCAGCCAGCCAGCCAGGGGGGAGACAGAGTTTGCCCTCACAAAAGGTCTCAATCACATGACAATCTCCCCGAGCATCTCCCAATGATGCATTGTGCAGAGTTGAGGGAGAAAAAATCACTTCTTCAGCTCTGATGACAGATTAAAGACCCTTTTCTCCACATCTCGCCAGCGTATCATTTTCCACGTGAATCGTCCTTATCACACGAGCCCCATGTGAATTTTACAAGGGGATGGAAAACTCCATAAAGATACACCGCGAATGCGGCATGATAAACTGCCAACCCTCGAGAGTCTCACACAAGTATAATTAAATAATCTCTGTGTAATTTGAAAATGAGCGAATTCATGAAAATGCCGTATTGAATGTGAATTAATTGAAATTTACTCTTCATGTTAATACTTCTTCGCACTTGTGTGTGTACTTGAAAATAAACCGACTAATTCAGTGAAATTTGCTGAGTCAATAATACCCAAAGCGACACAGTGAAAACCCCTGGATTTTCCCATCATGATGATTTATTACACGTACAACACTTGGTGTCTGGTGAAGAGTACAGAATGTCTCTTTGGTCCATGTTGTGTCTTGCTAATGAGTGGTTTTTACAATACTTACACAGACATTGTATTGTTTTCTCTTGCATCACAATCACTGTTTAACTGAGATTTTGTGGAATTTTTATGCCTTTTTTTACACTTGTGTAAAACTGAGCAAGTTTTGAGAGTTCAAAGTGTGGATAGTTGATTCTTTAGGGTATTAAATCATCACTGGAGATCATAAAGTATCCTCAAGTGTTGAAGAACTTTCCCAACCGCCCAGTTTATTGAGTTCACAATATATTTCTCTGCAGCCATTAGTCAATTCACCACAAATTCAGACGGAGACTTCATTACGACACAGCCACTAATTCTACACCGATTCGCGTAACAATAAAACATTCCGTGCGGTGTCGGCTTAAGTCAATACTTCAGCCGGTGGCTTAAGGGAGGAAAGTTAGTGTGAAAATTACATTCAGGCGACGAAATGCTCCGGAGACGCCGCGGCGTGGGTGGCGCCGCCTCACTCTCTTCCTCCCCCGAGACCTCACCCAATTTCCGTTTCGACAAATCATCACTTGGATGTGTGTTTCTATCATCAATTCCCCGGAGCTTGATAACATTTTAACTCAGCTCGAGGATTTTGCGGAAAAGTTGGGCGCTCGGGTGGAATTTAGTCACACCCCATTAACTCAGCTGGGGATGATTAATGGTCAGGGCGGAAAAGATCAACAAGAATGCACACAACTTCCCTTGTTCCTCGATGGATAAGCAAAATGGGAGCTTCTAAGATTCCACTCTTTATTTCTCTTCTCCTTAATACAATAATTATATTTAATTGATATATTTTCCTCTGTCTGTCATGCTTCCACAATATGTTTTTTTTTCTTCCTCTCTTTCTCTCTCTCTCTCTCTCTCTAGTCAAAATAAATGTCATTTTCCTCAATTGTTTTCTAAAAACATCCTTTTCTCGCACGAAGAATATTGAGTGACACAGAAATTCAGTGACTTATCTAAGTACATAGAGTTTGATTGTTTTCCTTCTCGTAAAATTCCACACGGGGGAAACAGAAGAACCCAAAATTGCCTTACAAATATTTTCTCATCTTCCCACGTGAGTTTTATTGAAAATTCTACTTTATTTGTATATTTACACATTTCATCGACCTTTCGTCAAACACATTCTTCACGTGCCTTCGATTCGACATTCACTCACTTTCTCTCCAACTGCGTGTTTATCGACGAAACGGGAGAAAGGGAGGCCAGGATAATAAAGGACAACTTAGAGAAGCCACCGGTTATTTTCCTGTTGAAAAATAGCTCAAAGATGAAAAATATAACGCAGGAAATAAAAAGACAATTTCTTCACGGCGCACATCTTCATTTTTCTCCTTGTTCAAAATATGCAATATAAAGCCTCTCTGGGAAAGGAATTTCCACTTTTGTCAAGACTTTTGCTCAGTGAACACAGAGAAAGTGATTCTACTGCCAAAAAAATTATTACACATTCTTCCTTCGCGCTGCCACTTGACTTTTTTATAAAGCTCTCGCAGCGCCAATTTAGTGTGGATATTGTGAAATTGAACAGAGTTGCAGTGTAAACAGATTAAGGATGCAAATCCTTGCTTGCAAATATTAGTATTCATGATGATGATGTTTAAGAGCTTTCAATTTTCTCTCATGAAATGTGTATCATTTTCCACTTATGATTTTCCTAAATACTCACATTTGGAGGCAATGAAATTGCCCTGAAAGGCTCATCATTGACAATCCTCAGTCAACGAACAGCCTAGCAACTCTGGTCAGGTTTGCAAATTCAAATCAAAAATTTGCCCTCTTCTGCACCTTTCTCTCCTGTACGCTGACTTACATCGAGAACATTTCACATTTAATAAATTTATTCAGAGTGAGCTAACGAGTCTAATTGGAAGAATCTCCTCTTGAGGAAAATTGTCCTTTTCGCCCACTTCTTCTTTTCTCTTCTGCACAAATATTGTCGCCATTGTTACATTTATTACAGACAGTGTATCTTGTCGCGGGGAACGTGTACTTGGGTTATGTAGCTTGCCATCTAAACATACCTTGGGAAACGTGGGCACACACTGACGCCTTCACCACTTGAAGTAGTCTTCTGCGGCGGCACAGTCGCGCGCCGAACCGCACCACTTGGATTCCAGCAGCGGCGGACACGGCCTGCCGCCTCGCCTGGCCGGCTTCAGCACGTGTCGCCGGCGATGCATCTCGCCAATGCCGCAGGTTTGGCTGCACGCGCTCCAGTCCGTCCAGTGACTCACGCGACAGTCACGGCGCGGCCGCGCTCGGTTGCGCGCCCGTGACGGAGTTGCAGTCGAGTAGCTGTCGATTATGTTGCTGAGTAGGGCCTTCTTGTCGTTCTTCGGGATCACAGTGGACACGGAGTCGTTGCTGTTGTTGATGCTGCAGAGAAAAAGAAAGAAGTTCACTAGTAAATAAAACGAATTCTTATTCTCTTAAGGGTTTGAATTGGAAGAAAATTCAGGAGTACGTCTTGAAATACATTGAAATTTAAGCATAATTCAAAAGAAAAGCTGCACATTATTTATTTAGGCAATCAATAAAGTGGGAACAAATGTTCCACAGTTATGTTAATTATGCTTCCAATTATTCAGCTGTTCATGAAGCTTTAGGCTTTGAGAGAAAGCCACACACTGGCATATCGCATTTCTGCCCAATTGATGTTCTTCATCCCCATCATCTCGTGGTTTCCGGTCAATCGATGGAACTTGACTGACCACAATTCATCAGTGCATTGGATTGTTTACGCTTAACACGGCATCATAAATAGTTTCACAAAAGAAGCTTTGGAAACCTCAAAGCTTTCGCTTCACCACCAACTGTAACTCTACAGCATTTTCCCTTCAATTTCACATTTGGCACAAATCCTCTGCAGAGAAGTGCAAAGTGGGGTGAAAAAAAAAGTTTCACCCCGAAAACACCGAGAACTGTGTGTTCGGAAATGGTGGTGAATATTTGGCGGAGGAAGAATGTGCAAATATTTGGGTGTTTGCGGAGGGTAAAATTGCAGAAAATATCCAATAAATCAGCAGTATGACAAATGCTCCTGAAGAGTCACATTTGAAATCAATTGCCATCGCGTGGGAATAGAAAATGTTCCCAATATTATGACCATATCGTAAATTTTCATGCCGACTGAAATTGTAAAAAAGCCATCCCAAGAGTGAGACTTTTATTGGGATTCGGTGTACAGTTTTTTTTTATGATGATATGTCAGCAAATAATTATTATGTGATGTACATAAATGCATAATTTCAGCACATGGAAAAAAAACTGTTTATGCGTTACATTATTTTATCGTTTACACTTTATATGAATGGTATTAATTAAATCTTCTGAAACTTCAATGGAAATTTTAGCATAGTTTTCCTTTGCGTAATTATCTTTTAATTAAGCACTTAATTGCTGTCTTTATAGGTCTTTCTCTACATCCTTATAAGTTGGTTTTTAATTATATGTAGAAAGAAAGCCAATGAAAAGCAGTACAACTTAGACTTTCACGCAACTTTCCATATATTCTCAAGTCAGAAATTCTTAGGGAACTTACTTGGGATTGAGTCTGGCCAGCAATCTGGCGCGAATCCGATCGCGTTCGGTGATGATGCTGGGCAAGGGTGACACTTCATATTGGCGCTCCCGCTCAATGTTGGCCGACAGCTCGTTATTCATTTCCACATGACTCCGCTCTGACTTCAAGTGTGTCTTCGCCACGGCCAGAGTCTCATATTTACGATCGTCCTCCTCGTGATTGAACACTTCGCTCAGCTCATACTCTTTCATCTGCAAAAGGGCAAGAGAGGCATATTTTGGTTGGCATGGCGGCAAAGTGCACAAATCGCCAGCGACCAGCAGAGAATTGAGATGTGAAATAAGCTCACTTTAATAAATTGGAACGTCCCAATCGGCGGCAAGCGAGCGCTCTGCGGGTAGAAAAAGCTGCCGGCCGGGTGGGCAGGATATCGAGCTGTTATGCGATAAATCACACCCTGCGGCTCTGTCGGCCAATTCGGGGCAGTGAATGTGAATCCATTATCCGTTCCAGCGTCCATTGGATTCATTTCCACTGTGACACTATCAATCCATGTGTCTCCAGAGCACAACTGCAAAGAGAATAGGGAGTCACAATGCTTTTTTTTCGGGTCCCTTTGCCTCCTCTCTGTGCGGAAGGTTATTAACGAGAGATTGTCTCGCTGCTCATCCGGAGATGCTGTGCCGATATCTCTCCTCAATGGTGCCATTTAGTGTCGAAAGGATGTCGCGTGATTGCCAATTTCAGACCGCGCTGTGCCAGATAAAACTCTTCATCTGGTCAAGAACACTTTCAAAAGTGGGATTCAGAGGCATTCAAAGGCTCAAATTTAAATTAACGATTTACAGTTTTGTTGTTCCTTTGCCTGTGTGAAAAGCTTTTCTGAACACACTTTGCGAGACAGAATGGTAGAAATGCATTAGCGATAACAAGGAGTTACGGTGAGCATTTTCCCCCTTTTTCCTCCACACGAGAACGATTTGTGTCAATGGCTTGGAAGCTTTCCGGCATTTTTCTACCACTCTTTCCACCACGAAACTTCGTTTAGCTCAGAATTGCGCCTGATGAGCGTAATTAAAATCAATCACCTTCAATATTCACACGCGACTGGTCGCAATTTTCCACGGGAAAATTAATTAAAACATATCTGTACAAAAAGTCTCACGCTGTCAGTTTATGAGTTAATTAAAGTTTCTGATGTGAATAATTCAGGTTCCCTTTCGCGGTGAAAAACATATACGCGAGTTGCACGAGTTTTGACTATGAAAATTATGTTTTTCGCCTGAGTTGAGATGATATTTCAATTAACTGACGATGATTTTAATGAGGCAAAACTCACCGAGAACGAGTCGATGCCGATGAACCAGTCGGGCGACGGGACGATCCGCGTGAGTAGTGACACGACACTGTGATTGCTGTCCACGAAGAACTTCCCCTCGCTGCGTCCGCTGCCGCTGCCGATGGCGGGCAGCGTGAAGGCGTCAAACACGCCCTCGTCCAAGCTGTCCGTGAGCACGTCACTCTTTCCCGTCTCCGCGAACTGCTTCACGCCCGGCAACGCCAGCTGGCCCTCGCGGAAGAGGCGCCAGTGCGGCGAATGGGTGCGACCTGGGTTGAGATGAGACGGTGAGAAAGTTGAGGGATTAATTCTCCAAATATCGCTCTCCGCCCACGCTCGCGCCTCGACGGTAATTTAATCCGACAATCAGCGCACTTCTCGATTGCGTGTGTGCCACTCAATTTCACTCAACTTTCCTCCCCCAGAAATTCTAATCAATCTAATTAATTAGTTTGTATGTGTTTGTCAGTGAGACGAAGGTCGGAAGACCTTTTAGGCGAACGAGAAACTGTGCCAACACGAGCAAGAAGTGAGCAGAAAAAGAGGGAATTTCCTCGGAAAATAGTTGACATTGTATGTATGGATTTGATGTGGAGTTAGCAAAGTTTCGCACAACTGATTAATAAGTGACTGCGGGGCACTTTTGCCACACAACCGCGAGACGTGACGCAAAATCGTGGTTCGGGACATTTAATGATGCTAACAAAGTTATCGATAACACTCAGAGATCTCTAGAATATATTGAGAAATAAAGCTAGATTTGATGAGGTAAAGAATTTTCTGCATATTTCACGTATTTCCCAATATAATTTTAAATATTTGGGTATGGAAAAATGCTTTTGATTGAATTTTTAACAATGTCGAATACAATTTAAGTTTAATTGAAAATTCACCTGAAATATTTATTCAATTAACCCCATTTTACTGACACGGTATAAATTGTTACAATCATACTTTTATTTCCAATGAAAATAATACCATTGAATGGGTCTTGTGTCAGTTAAAACAATGAAAATGTTCGAATAGATTTCCCACGAGAGATTGTGGACGATCAGGATTCAACCAATTTGTCATGAATGAAATATTCACAGTTGCCATTGAGGACAATTTGACAGCGTCCGGAAAATCACGAAACTTTCCATCGTAATTGGTAAGAATATTAAATTACATTTCATTTGCATTCACAAATAAATTGATCCAAAATAATATTCTCTGGATGGCCAAAGCGTTAGTGTATTTTCAGTCAATTTCTTCGGCCAAAAGTTCATGAAGAAACTTTTGCCATCCAGGCTGTGTGGAAATTCTCGGGTAAATACAGAGGAAAGAAAGTTGAGCCGAAAGTCCGCCACACTGAGAATGGCCGGAAAAAAAGACACGAGAAGGAGCGAATCAAGAGATTAAATTTGGGTCTCATGAGAAGAACTCCACTTTCTCGCTTGTTTCTTGTCAATTAATCTCGATGGACGTTGAATCTGGGTTGAACTTTTATTTTCAATTGTATTCCAACTGTTTTCCTTTCCTCCTCCTCCGCAATCTCTGCATCAATACCATTAAATTCCATCTCACTCTCGGACACTGTCAGAAATTTTAGAGGGGGAGACAAAAAAAATCGTGCGCCTTGTGCCAATTTTCACGCGTGTATTTCTCTCTTTTCCGTTCCTCATCGTGACACACTCAATTGGAATTTTCGTCGGAATTTTTTTCCCGCGATGCGCGTTGTGAGGAGAAGAAACACACGCAACAGGAAAGTGAATTAAGAGGAAAAATTCATTTTGACACAATTTTCTAATTTGAAAGTTTTCCCCTCATTTTCATATTCACTCCTCTTGATCATTCTCATCGCGCGGCACGCGGGCGAATTTTCCACCGGTCGGGCAAAAGCGTGGCAAAAGACCTAGGGAGGAAAAGGAGAGGAGATGGAAATTGGCCGAATGCCACAATAAAATGCTTTTGCACACTCACAAAGAATGGCATCACATAAACAGCGAGATTGTAAAACATTTTCTCCGAATTCACTTTGCAGCTTCTCTCGCGCATTTCCACCTTTAGCATTTCATACTAAATTTTAATTACAATCCCCCGCCATTCTCACCCTCTTCGCAGAATGCGCGCTGGGGTGCTCGTAATACTAAATTTAAAATGTCGTGCACAGCATTAAAACGGCGCGCTTTTTATGCCATCTTCGCGAGCAAGTTTAATTTCACGATGACTTGCAGGAGAAAGAAAGACGCCGTGTTTTTATCACTTCACCTCCGCATGGTCATGTCTTAAGGCTATCGCGATGGAGGAGACTTTGAGATGGAAAATAATCCCTGGCACATTGTTGAGTCTGTAAATATTGTATTAGGAAACGAGCCAAAAAGATATGCTGGATGAGAGTGAATCTCAAAAAAACAAGGGATATAATTAGTCACTGTTTGTAGAATTAATTGCACAGATAAGACATTCAAAGCTTCTGCTATCCAGAATCTCAAGCACGAGTCAAATGGGTCGGGATAAAGTTGGAAAGAATGACCTTTTTTCATCAAGAGTTCATTTATGAAAAAAAAACTCTACGATCGTCTTAAGAAAATTCGTGTTCTCAGGCACAGTTTCACTCCCGGTTATTTGATAGTGACAGTCTTACAATATTCTCTAAGAATATTAACAGACATTTCATGATATTTCTGCACATTAACACTACTTTATATTATTTTGAGATTTCTGAACAAGTTTTCCACACTCCCTAATACTTCACTCAAAATTCAGAAAATTCTCAAAAACGATGGAAATCAAATAGACAATTTATTCCTTTGTCCGCTGACTGTCCTTTAGAAAACGGCATGAATGTCACGCATGAAGGAGCGCGAGAGCAATTAATTAATTCTTCATGAGTGTTTCTCTCAGTGCTTAGAAAATTCAAATTTGTGAATATAGCACTTTGGCTTTAATAAAGTTTAGCCATTAAACACATTAATATTTCCTACTAAACCTGCAAATTATCCTTCGCCACTTTTCACATATTCCCAAAGCTTTTCGCTCGTGAATTCTGAGCTTTGACAATAAATTTATAGAAATACGTTTCCAGTGTAGAAATCCCCGAATTTATTGTTTTAGCATCTCTCTCTCGAGCGGTAAAAGCACAAAATTACTGTCACTCCGATTCCATTAGGAAAATTGGTGGGAAACTCGCTTTTATTGTGCAACTGCATGTAAAAGTTTTTACTATGAATTGTCGACTTTTCAATTCGAATTTCTCCACTGGTCGCAATAATTCGTCTAGCAACTGTAGCCACTCGCTTGACACGTAGGAAGTGTATTTTAAGCGACATTTCCAAGGGTACACGAGTTCCATTGTGTCGAACAAGTGGTGTGGCGTGGGCTAGACTGAGCGGGGGTGAATTGACAGTCTGGGATTCTGTGCCATTGTTCTCCAAAAACTCACACTCGGAAGACATGATTCTGGACTCCAATTGCCTCGTGGGGATGCAACAAATGATTAAATTACATCTCAACCACTTTTCCGTGTTACCTGCGGCGTTATTAAGAGATAGTGGATGAAATCAAATTAAATTTCTCACCAGATGCAGATTTTCCACGCTCTTGTTGTGCTCCATGCGCCGGGAATTTTAATATTAATGCGGTGTTTTTTGTGCCCAAATAAAATTACAGCATGAGTTCAAGTGAGAATTCATTAAATATTCAAGTGTTAGTTTGATTAATGGAGGCGAAGGAGAATTGCAAGTACAATATTGTTCTATTAGTTAATACACTAGGTAATTAATTTAATTCTCACGCTTCGGGAATTTCTGAGAGTTTGAAAAACATTCACGTTTGTTTAACTGATAATCCCCTGAACTTTATTGCGAATATTTTGATGTTATATGCAAAAAATCATTGAAAGCTCTGCTAATTTTCTTCCATGTGCACCATTTTTTAAAACACACAACCATGCCAGACAAAAAGCGCATTCTCTAAATGAGTTTCCAGGAGGAAATCGTATTTTTTCTTACCGCTCAACCTGCACAGAAAGGAGAAGGGGAAATTGCTTCACACCCAAGGCTTATTAAGGAAATAAATTATCTCGAATGTACCCACAACACTTGTTCCTTTTCGCCAGGATAATGTTTTAATAATAAATTCATACATTTTCACCCACATCCTCTCACACTTCCACCCATGGTGTGTGCACTCGGGGTTATAAGGAAATCCAGAGAGGAGAAAAAGTACACCTCATATTGCACATTGAGCACGGCTAAAACCATTGAAATTGAGTCAGAAATGAGGTTGAATCTCTCATGGGAGTCTTTCGCCAAAGCCCCCATGAAGCGTATCGTTGGGTGATTTCACAGGGAATTTAATAACTACCTTCTCAAGATAGATATTCTCTCTTGCGTTGGGGAAAATCCCCTCGACATGGAGCATATTCTCAAAATAAATGTCTCACTGAATCACTTTGCCATGTAATTCTTTCGTGCTCCTAAGATGCGCAGCACTGATTCCTCCTCGGTCCATAAAGCATTCATCAAATGTGTGTGTTGCTGATCATTCAGTTGCAATATAGATATGTGTGGTAAATTGGGGAGAAGCGCAGATGAGAGTCATTCTTCGGGAATTTCTCTAACGATGTTCTTTAATGACTTTCCACGATGAGGTGGGGATTTAAAAGTGTCTATAATAAAAATGTGGAAAGAGTAAAAGTTCCTCTCAATTCCACTTTGCGGCAGATAATCTCATCTAACCGCCCCACAGCCCTCGATATTAGTGCTGTGATAGTGTACATATTTCAACTTTTCCACCCAATATTGGAACTTTTGATGAATTTATTACATTTACACCCCACACAACAAGGTGCATATATTCATCAAGAGTGAGTGTAAATAGTCAAGGAAACTTTGTACACAATCTCCACCCCCATCAGTATCACCCCTTGGCTTGCACACAGAGGCACTCAGGGTGGTTTCTGGGCCATAACTTTTGCCACTTGTGCAAGTCTTACGCTCAAAGCAAGGGGAGAAACTTTTATCTCTCCCGCCGATGCCTTCATTCTCATAGCTATCAAAACTTTCAAATGCGCATTTCCACTTCGCTTGCCATATTGGAAAATACTTTGGAGATTAATAAGGGAAGGTGGGAAATTTGTGCAATACTGCCATAAGCATGCTTCGGAGGCTCCAATAGTGAAATAACAAGCAGAATTGCTTCACTTGACACCACTTCTCCCGGTATAATGTCTGCACGATGCGGAATTTCATTACATCGTTGAGGAATAGACAGTTAAGATGATCAAGAGTGGGTTTGGAAATTACATGATGTTTATGGATAAACTTTACGGTATATTGATACTTAAAGTTTATGAAAACTGATATATTTGATCATGAAGAGCTACTTAACATCCTTCTGATCGATTTGCATTCGAGTTGATCCCTGAAAATCTATCTCCTAGATTTGGCACTTGTTGCATTGCAACAAATTTTGTAAATCTATCTACTAGCATTATTATTAAAAATCTGAGTTAGACACAGTGAAGCTCAGTATGATCCAGTATATTAAAAGGACAACAATTAAAAAAAAAAGACAGAACATTACAGAAAGTTTTTATCTCACATTTCGGCGCCCTTTTCAAATCACTGCATAAGCGGATAGGAAAATCAAAAGGGAATGACTGAAAAAGCTCATATCAACTCGACTAGAAGTTATTTAAGGCTTGTCAGTTGCAGCTTTACTGAAAAACTATGGAACATAAAGTATAGGAAAGACTGTCAAGAGCACAAAACTCTTTACATCCTAAATTTAATCGAAGCTTCCCCACAATTCGTAGTTTCTCCAACACTTTTCGGGGGGGAGGGAAGGAAAGGAGGGAATGTGAATTGTTGGAGTCCACCATTGGGTTTGTCAGACAAAACAACCCCATCAATCAAATTCATAAATATCCCAACAACGGTGACAGTGAAGTAAATTGATTCCCCCTTTTAGGCACTCGGGCGCCCAGGCGCTCTCTGTGCGTCTCCCACGGGGATTTATTAATAGAATTAAGCTCAGTAACGAGACATTTTGCCTTTCTTTTCACGTGTGCCGCACGCACACGACACCATACACCCTCCTTGTACACTCCATTGAGCGATGCCAGTGACACTCTTGGCCAAATTGAATTTACCTAATTCATGCAGACGAGAGTGGAGAGAGACATTAGATCATGCGTGGCGAATGGCGTGGAAAAAGAGCACATTTGAGTGAATTTGATTCATTTGCAATTGAGATTTATTCCCCAAGCGGACGGGATTTTGCAATAAAACTGAAATTAATGGCAAAATGCTCTCTCTTTCTCTCTCTGTGATGGAAATCCATGAGCACAATGTCTAGCGGAAGTGCGCCAACATTCTCCCCGATGTTAGGCATTTAAACTCCACACCGTCGCTCGTCGCATTAAGTTAATGAGCAAGAAAGCATCAAGATAGAAGCCACAGCATATCCAGACAACGCTCATGAGGTGCATTCGAGATTTATCCACCGATTGTTGCTATAGCAATTCTGGGTGATGAGAATGATTCATCAGGCCATATTAGCCATCAGACCGAAATTGACCCTTGGTCAATAGCTAATGGATTAGTGCTTAATCCTCAATCAAATCACTGTTGCTTCTCTCGCAAGAGTGAAACCCTTAATTTTGGGGGACGGTGGAAAAGAGATGCGGGAAGTGTTCAGGGATTTGTTTGTTGTGTGATTGGGAAACAATGACACACACTCACCGATGGTTATTGTCCACTGTGCTGGCGGCCGCCAGTCTGGGAAGTGCTTGGGGAAGAGCTCGCGCGTCCAGTAGGTGTGCAAGACGCCTCTGTAGACGGCCAGACGGTCGCCGGTGTGGCAAGTGGTGGGACCGGCCGACGCCGCGACGGTGGATTGTCCCACTGAAGAGCCCCACAGTGTCAGCCACACGGCCAGCACAAAAGTCCCCACGTTCTGATTCATCTTTACACTTAATCCTCTTCACTGCCACAAGTATAGATAATTTACACGCCGGTAAAACTAACTCTCACTAATTTTCATTCTGCGGCCGGATTAAGAAAGCTCACACAATTTTTTCTCATTTGCCCAGTCCAAACACTGGAGTTTTTGGACGCTTTTCTCCACAAAAAAACACTTTTCAGGGAGGCTGCACAGCTGAATGTGACCACTAATTGCTCGATGGGTCGCGAACAGAGGCGCTCACTGGCAACAGCGTACTCTCGTCGCGACGGACGCCACAAGACTGAAGCGTCGGAGCTGAGAGGCGACGAGTCAGAGTTACAAGCTGGCGTCGCAGCGCTTCTCAAACTGAGCATTCGCTCATGATGTGAAATTTACCCATGAAATTCATGCAATTTTTCCAACCAAATCACACACGTCTCCGGCATTTCCTTTTCGATTTCCTGAAGGGAAGACAGGTAAATTTAATAGAGAATATTTGGCACAAGATTGAGACTTGAGGTTGAGATGAGATTTGAAGTGATGAAATCATTGGAAGAATAACAATAGAAGTTTCTGTTGATTTTGCATCTTTGTTACGCATTTGTCAAAATTTACATTCAATTTTAATTTCAGCTCCCAAAATGACATTCCTTGTGCATTAATATAGTATTAAACCACGCCCTCTCGAATGCCCCGCCCATTTAAATAATTAATTGAATTTTACGTGGTTTTCAGACCACAAATTATGCTAACAAATTAATCAACATATCATAAAGAGTCATCGCAAGGGATTTAAATAATTCTCGAACACATTATAAAGTATCACACTTTGTATGAAGCTGAATTAAATTATCCCTGACATTGCAGCGAGTGTAAAAGCAGTGACTGCAATATGAATTGAAAATCACAGTGAATGAACTTGTCATAAAAGATATTACAAACAGTGTTAGAGTAATTGATGCCACATATCGAAAATTAAACAATAGTTTCACATGCTGAAAACATGGGAAAATTCACCTCAATTGTGAAAATGGGAGTGAATTTTAGGTAATGCTGCAGAGCATTAGTGCGAAGCCGGAGGGTGCATTTTGTGGTTGTAGAGTAAGAGCGACAGTGATATATAAAATTTCATAATTGGTGTGCATGTTATGCGAAATTGCATGAGGTTTTCTTTGTTCCAAAAACCCAGTCCGGGCATAACATAGTGCAGTTCTGCTTGCTCGCTTTATGAGAAAATTAATTTTCACGTGAAAATTACCCCACAAACATCCAACACTCAGTCCAACCACTCGCCAGACACAATGATCTGGCAATTGACGCTTGGTGAGGTGGAAAAATGCCTCATATTTGCAGTTCATGACACTTGAAGTGGCTTTTCAGTTGGTCGTCTCTTTTTTCGTATGGCTGACAGTAAAAATTTATTTTTAAGACAAAATTATACCCTCAGAGTTGAGCAAAAGAATTTCATCTCGCACTGCTTCCATCGTTATCTTTTATTATTTTCATAAATTCTCCCTTTAATCATCCTTTGCGCTTTGCTCTTCGTCAACATTGAAATTTTATGCGTTGAGAAATTCTTTTTTTTTTCATTTTTCTCGCCCTGCGCGCACACTTTCCCTTTTCATGATTGATAAGATTTAAGATTATTGTCTCGTGGGTGTAGAAAAAAGGTCTGAAGATGTGTTTTCATCTCATCCATAGTCTCACACTTTGCGGATCGCTGTCAATGTTCGTGCGGTGTTTTTCTTATCTCAAAAATAGCTTCATTAAAGTCATTTCCATTGGGGTGTATTTGAGCGTATTGTCGCGAAATGTGCACCACTTTTGCGGGATGAGAGATGAAAATTCACTCCCTGGATAAATTTTCAGCACGAATTTCTCTCCTCACCCAGAAATAAATTGACAGACATACGAAATATACATTTCACATCTCGCTTTTCCTCGCCAGAGAAAGCGCACACCATCAAGAGTGGGTGTCAGAGAAAAGTGGGTATAAGAAAAATCTGTTGCTGTAAATTTGTCTCTTCCTCCATCTGGCAATCATCGGGATCATGTCCATGGCGAGGTGGAGAGCAGAATAATAGACACCAAACAACAATGACCATATAACTGAATTTATTCGTGCTGGCGAATTCGCCTGGGAATGAACGGCCACCCACTGGCGAGGCTAGCAGTTTCGACGGCGCCCAGCCACCCACTCGCCCACTGCGCAGTCCCAGCGGCCGAGGCAGCAAATTTGAGGAATCAACCCAGCGCACTTTCGTGCCCAGGAAATGAATATAAATCCTCAGGCCGCGATTGAGACGCACATGGAGTTGGGAAAAGGGAAATTAATTGGTGAGATTCAGCGCCGCCAAATGAGCCTCAATAGCCATGGATTTTCCCCTAAAACACTCCTCGTGCGGTTCTTTTTTTTTCCCCAAATTCACCGTCCATGGACGATTCGGCAGGATTAACGTGAGATTTTCACACATATTTGGCCAACATAAATATTTCCCTAACAAGAATTTCAATAGGGCGGATTGGAGGAATTGTGAATGGTATGTTTGAAGCATAACTTCAGAGCATCAAGCGCACAATTAGTCGGCTTATGAGTCAAAAGCCGTGAATGTAATTCAAAAGATATTTTATTGCAATTCAACTTCAACCACAGTAAAGAGTTGCATTTTAAATCTGTTCATATAAAGTCCACAAGTAATTTTTTTAACAACCAAAAAAAACAGATAAATATTTTCCGCGTACAATTGACTGTTCAATATTAATTGATTTACTCAAATGGAGACAAATTCAATAAACATGCTTTTCAAAAATTCCCATTTAGATTCAACTGTGAAATAAAATTGTTTTCCAACTAGAATATCGCTTTCCACTCGCACAAATTGCAAGATTAATCCCTGTAGATTTGAATGGGCAATAAAACTGTTTTTTTTCCTTCTCAATTGCATTAACTTGAAATCAACATAAACACTCAAATGCTGGGAGTTTGTGATGGAATTTTTCTCCCATTTTCCATGCATAAAAACTCTTTGCATTTTCATGGTCTAAAAAGAGAAAACCCGAGAGAGAGAGAGGGAGGGAGGTTTTGTAGGGCATATTTAAAAATCACTCCCAGTCAATGGATATTGGGCAAACATTGGTTGTTTGTGAGGGGAGAAAGCCAAAAATAGCTTTTCTAATTCAACTTTCCACGCCACGATGGCATACAACACTTTTTATGTATGGTAATTCATGCCTCTCTGGAGGGCCAACAGTGACCCGGAAAACAGGAGAATTGAGGAGGAAAACACGCATTTTTTCAGGCCATATCGTGTTTGGTCGCGTGAAGAATTACTACGAGCGCCCCATGAAAAATGATATTGATGCACAATTTATTTTTACTTGTAGCAATTTTAATTAAAATGAAACATGATTCCAGCACTCTGCTCTATTTTTTTCGGATAGCGCGAGGGGTTGACAAATTACCAAATCGTGAGTGGAATATTTGCATTTACATCGTAGGAGGAAAAATGGCCCCACTTTTGTGCCTATTTTTCCGATGGTGGGCAAAATTGAAAACATCTTCCATCATGTCAATTTTTCTAGAAAATCAAATTACCTAACCGTGAATAATTTCATGCGAACATTTCAAGCTAATGCCTGACAGCAGAAAAAAAAAAACATCTTGATTGATCCACCCTCTGAATTTGTGAGTCCCTCCATTATTTTTTTTCTCTCTCTCCTATTGTTGTTTATTCTCACACAACACAACACAATTTTGACAACATTTATGGGTGATGATGTGATGGAAAAAGCATTGAAGAAGTGGTATTTTCCAAGTGCGAAATAAACTGCAATGCATTTTGTATTCATCATCATCATCACCATCATCCCCCAATGGAATCAATCAAACAAGCAAGCACGAGTGCTGCAGAAAAGCCATTGCTGTGAAAATCGGCCCCAATTCGCATAGTTTCAAGCATGGTTGGAAAATTATTTCAACACTCTCTCGTGAGGGTAATTTTTTACTCACCCAGTGTGGGACGCAACATAATTTTTGTGAAACTTTTTTAATTGAATAGTGTGCATAGCACCAGAAGCACTGTTCTCTATGGAACACCACAGAAAGGGGGGAGGCAATAACCCACCCTGGAAGAGGCGGAAAGAAATATTGAACAAAGTTTTTTGCGGGATGAATAAAATTTACACACGACGGGCGGCAATAAAGAGCATTGCACTATTGAGAAAATATTATCCACTCTCGTTGTTAATCGAAAATGTGAAATCACGCGCATTTCCCCTTGAACATTTTCCAACCCCAAGTGAAAATGTATTTCCGCCATGGGAGATTATGGGACTTTCGTAGCTTCTCAACAGCATCACACACTCCACAAAGAGAGATAAACTTTGAGATTTAGGTGATTTTTATTCGAATTCTCTCTGATTTCAAAGAAAGGAAAATTGTACTGGAGAGAAAAAGACGAATAATTAACACGAAAAAAGAAATTTGAATACCCACTTTTTTCTCCACGACAACACCAGCAATCCGATTTATTTTGCCTCTCTCTCTCCAAAATTTGAGGACGTCTTGCAATTAATTCTGTAAGAGAAAGAGAGAAGGGAAGGAATTTAATAAAAATGTCACACTCCACAGAAGCACCGCGCGCCATTCATACAAATTCGTATCTCTTTTGCAAAATAGAGGAAACCCAGAACCACGGATGGAAAGTGGGTGAATGAATTTCACTGAGGAGCGTGAAAAAGCTTAGCAAAATCACCAACTCATTTTCCAACTTTACTCACACCATCAAGAGAACGACAGACAAGCCGAATGTGTGACCAGACTTGTGGAAATTCAGCTTCGTAGAGCGACAATTTGAATCTGTCACGATTAATAGTTTTATTTATTTTATTCGAGGCCCTAAACAGAGGAAGAAGAACTTACCGAAGACAGTGACTCTTTGAAAGATTCACACTATTTTTCGTGAAATTATCGAATGGACAATAATAATTTTGACAAAGTTCTCGAATACAATATGATTCGTGCTCTCCCTTCTTCACTCTTGAATGTGCTGTTTTTGCTATTCTCCGCCAAAAATAACATGGATAGCAGCGAGATGGCAGGACGAGAAATTTAAGCTAAATGTATAAAGGATTTCAACCCCGTTCGAAAATCTCCGTCTCGTGCGGAGGAAATTCACAGCGGAAAAGCACTTTGGCGGGCTAAAGTGAGATTTGTGCTTTGTGAATGTCATTCGCACACAACTTTAGTGCCACTGTGCAGGCCTAAGGATGAAGGTAGAAGGATATGTATGTTTGGTGGTGTACAAGTTTTGCCATGAGTGCGAGACACGCGAAAGCGATAAAAATTCCTAAATCAATTCTCACGAGGAGTGAATTGAGCATTTCTGCGAGTGGGTGGCTTTTTTGGGGGTGAATATGCATCAATCTCTGTCCTGGTTTTGCTCACAAAAATCCCACGGCACTGGAGTGGGAGAAACTCGAAATTTTTCCACGGAGATAATATAAACGATTTAACACGAAGATATGCAAAAGAGATGGAAATTTTAAATGAGAAAATTCCAACACAAATTTAGTTTTTTCTCTCTCTCTCTCGCTCTTTTCCCACTCACAACTCTTGCCATTTATTTTGGAGAGACCAAAACTCTTTTCTATTCCACCATTTGCGGTGACTGAGGACATGACTTGAAAGTGAGATGGAAACAAGCGAAAGAAAGGAAAGAAGGGTCCAATGAAGAAAATCAATGCCCACATAAATTGTGGCTATTTTCGCATGCCACTCTGATGGGGTGTCCTTTGAAAAACACCCCTGAATAATTACAATTTTGTGTCTTGCTGGAATGTTGATGTAAATAACTAAAAACGTGGCTAAATTTCGGATCTTAAACGATTATTTACACCTCAAGTGGGTTGAATTTTCCGTAATTTTCTCGTAGTGCACGAGTTGTGTTATTTGTCTTTGTCGCGTCTATTTGCAAATTTACACCAGCGAAAAATCGTTTTGAAGAGATAGAAAGGCGGAAAAATAGAAGTCATCGGCAAATTCTTCCTCACAGAATGGTTAAACTTAATTAAAGACGATGAGAAACCAAAGGAATTGTCAAGAATCCGTTGAGTCATGGGCTTGAAGAAGGGATTTCCTGGGCTTTGCATTTTATTCCGCCTGTGTATTGAAAAACGACTCATAATTATGTGTCCCGCCGCGCAAAAGGCTATTTATGGTATATATATATTTTTTTATATTGTTGTGGCACATTTTCTGGTGTGCAGTGAATCACGATGGTTTTTCACTGGAATGTGGAGGAGAAAATATGTGTTCTAGCGTTGGTGCTGACAAGAAAAATTGATGTGCGATCTCTGGCTCTCGGTTTTCGTGTTTTTCCTCATTCCTCTTGTGCGAGATCCAATAGCTCTTCCCTCTGTCTTGCTCATTCCATCATTTTTCTATATAGTTAGAGAATTAGTTTTGCTTCGGCGGAAACGTGACTTGAAAGTGAAGTTGGGAGTCGCACACACAGGCTGAAGATGCTCGCTCTCGCCGGAGATGAGCGCACAGGAGGATGCTTGCTTGTGCCAAACCGAAAACGTGGGCCACTGCCTTAAGAGTCGACGCGTCACAGTCTACAAATCTACCGAGAAAAGGGGAGAAGAATTAAGAATGTGGCAAACATGCCAAAAACCACCCACACACAAGAGTGGGCGGACTGTGTTCGTTGCGGTTGAAGATTACGCCATGTAACGATGGGAAGTGCACGACGGAGTGAGGTTGGCATTCCTCGGGAATTCTTCCAAGGGTGATTGAGTAAGGAAATCAAAGATGAGGATGGAGTCAGAGAGGAGCAAGATAAATCAGGAAAACAAGATGCGAAATAGGGTGAAATCATCCCTTCGCACACACACACACACAATCCTCAAACGTGGGGGTTGTTGGAAAAACTCCCTAAAGAAGATGCTGAAGAAAAGAAAACGGAGGGAATATTGAAATTTTTCTCAACCACTCTCTCTTTCTTCTCCTGTGAATTTATCTGTGATCTTGTGAAACTCAATTACATTTTTCTTTACCTCCCCTGAGGCAATATTTTTGTTATTTATTCAAGATAAATTGATTAAATATTTGAGAAATTACATTGAAGAGTATGAAAGACATTCGCCAATTGGCGTCTTTTCAATCATCACATTACTCTTTGAATTGAACTTTTCTAATCATTTATTCTTCATGTCGACATTTTTCCTACCCACACTTTTTTTTTCTCTCAGTGCTCTCAGTGTAATTTACGTTGAATACCCACGAAATATGGTCTTGTTTGTCACCATTAACCTTGAGCGAAAGGAGAGTGAATCTCTGGGAAAAGAAGTAATAATAGCCCAAGAAGACTCCGCTTTCACCTCCCCAAAACAGCACACAATTATTTACAAGAGGCCAAACAGCAATTCAACCTCTTTTCCCGGCACATTTCCCATTCAAAGTGGCACAATATAATATGAGAGAGGAAAATACACACACACACACACACACGCCCTCGACAGAGGGTGGGAAAAAGGCAAGATGCAATTTGGCGAAATTAAACTTTTGCCACATTCTTCCATGAAACACGTTGGCATGTTGGGTGCACATTTGGGACTTTTCGCGCGACAAAGTGAATTAATCCTAAAGCGCGCGGCGTATTGAAAGTTGATTTAATGGCACTCCTGCTGAGTCAAAAGTTTCAGCGGAATGCATATAAAGTGAGATGTGTTTTCACAAATGTGCGGTGGATTTTTCACTGTAACTTTTCCACTCACAAGTGTGTTGAAAAGTTTTTTTCACACATGCAAAAACCCGCATAGAATAGGATGGATTATATGATTAGGGCAAGATAACATATCAATTTGTCCACACCATCGAGATTATTGATTAAAAGCCACTGCAAAAATTTTCAGCACATGTTGCAACAATTTGATACCAAATGCGATGTGATAAAATATATGTATTTAAATTGAATCACTGGACATTCAATTGCCATAATTTTTCATTTTTATCGCAGATAAATTTTATTTACATGCCAGATCGTGCGGCATCGCTTTTTTATCTGTTTGAATAAATGATTTCATGTGAGATTCAGAGAATTTTTTTTTGTATAGATTGCAAGCCATGGATTATCATAGATTATCATGGTCAAATGTGGATTTTTCCCGTATTTGGAAAACAATTACATATGCAGGGTTTATTATGTAATGTTCTGGGGAATTAAGCACAAATCATCACGTGTATGATGTCAAAATCAAACTAATTTGTGAATAACATGAGTCGATAAATGAATCTCATTAGCAGAAACAAGCGAAGAACTGCGATCACAATTTTGAGAATGGGCGTGGCATTTGAGTGGGCGGAGCATCTGAACATTTCTATTATTTCCGTTACGGGATTAGGAATGCACTATCCTCTCCGTGAACAGAGAAATCCAATTGATTTCCACAGCCGAGAACTATTTTGATGGCAACTGAAACTTGTGTTAATTGACGAAGTAGCATTTCCTGGGAAAGTATATCAATTTCCTGAGTACTCTGCTCAGGTGAGCTGCAAAATAATGTCATCCTCTTGGGATATTTGACCACATTTCTGAAACAACTTCTTGTCGGACCGTCGCCTTCTGAAGTAGGGAATTTAGGAGTATGTGTGTGTGTGTGTGTGTGTGGAAAGCGGAAGTGAGCAGAGATTAAAACATTCTCTCTCGGTAACTTCTAGGTAAAAGTCCCTTCTTCGCATGGTGGCTGGAGAATATCATATGGAATTCGTCATTTATGTGTTCAATTCCTGCTTGGTGACGATGCGATGGGAAATCGGTGAAATTTGAACGGGTGAAAAGTTAAATTGCAACTCTGTCGGGTGAATTATTGAAAGGACGACGGCACTCAATTTGTAGACCGACACATCATCAAATATGTAGTTATGCTTCCGTCTACGTTTATCAAGCTGCCACAGTATTGGGCATGTGTGTCTCTCGTCCTTAATTAATATGATCCCTAGCACTATCGCACATTTGGCTAGATTCATTGGCCTTGAGTTGAGGATGGTTTAGCGACTAACGAAACAATGAATACGAAATGAGCATAGTTCATTTGTGGGGCCCTTCCCAGAGTTCCCAAACCTAAAAGGCAACCGTGTGGAGCAGAGCACTAGCGCAGAGAATTGTCATGTTGAGTGCCTAACGATGGGGTGATGTTCAATTGAAGTGGGGCCTCATCAGGGGTTGAGCGCACGCGAGCCTCATTTAAATTCATAACTCTCCGTTCGTCAACGTGTCATGTGAAATTCACATAACAAGAAACACACACACAGACACAGACACACACACAGCCAATGGCAAAGCCTCTAACACTCATTAGAGACTCAATTTTCCACGTTTTTCACATTATTCCAGACACATGGTAAAAAATGCAAAAACTCCTCTCGCCGCACTCAAGTGAATGCCAAAGACTCCCAGTCGACAGTTGGGAAAGTTTTTGGGGGTTTTCCAGACGCGGTCTCACGGGAATCTCAGGTGCCAGTGAAATGAATTCACGTTCTGGCAGTAGCGATAAATTTGCCCATGTCGGTTA